ACGTCCAGTCGCCACAAACTAGGTCATTTCGGGACTAACATATGGTTTAATTTTATTTCAATAATTCGCTTGCGCGTAGGGGTCTTTAGCAGTGGGAGGAAACCGGAGGACCCGGAGAAAACCCACGAGGTTGGATTAAATAATAACAATTTCTAAACATTTTTAAATCCATAAAGAATGTGCGAGCCCTAGAATATCGTGATCTGAGAAATATTAACACTGGTTATGTTATTTCATATGAATGGGAATGTTTACTATAGGAAAATTGTCACGTAAGGATAAAGACATAGTTCTGTGGAATAAGCATTGCTTTCTTATTTTGATAAAAGAAATAATAACACCAGTGGTCTGGGTTATCTCTAGTAGATATCTTCAGTAGCAACTCTTAGTATCTGGAAAAACTAAATCTAGCCCGGAAGTAGTCTAATGACCCAAGCCATTGACCTTTCTCGTTTTTGAAATGAAAGGGCACAAGCTTATTGAACAGGTCTATAATATGCGCATATACCTATTTAAGATTTACACGAATGTGTTTATATGTAAATAAGTATCGATACACTCAATATATAGCATAGTGATAGTGGGTTGCCTTATTCTGCGTTTTCAAATACAAATGTATACAAATGACAGGACAAGGAATATTTATTATGTTTTTCCTGTTGTCGTGGTTTTATGTTTCAGAACGAAAACTGTTTGGGTTTTGGTATAGTTTTTCCAGGCGTATATAAACAGTATACAGAAAGAGCAATTGATCTATAATAACTTTGTAGTTATATATATATATATCTATATATATCTATATATATCTATATATATATATATATTGTATCCATGCGATAAAGTGTATGCGTTACTTCATTTATAATATGTCATCCATTATTATATAAAAGCTACAGTATCCAACTGGGTTTCATTCTTCTAAAACACTCTTCAAATCCAGTCTTCGTTTATTCTCACTTCAGCTATGTCCAATATATCACATATAGCCTATATCCTCGAGGGTGAACGATTATGAGTAGACCTTGCTTGTGTTTTGAAAATAAACTAAAAACTTGTTAAAACAAGTGTACTGTGAGATTGTCATATTCTGTTAAACAAATGATGGCCATTATGATAATAGCCATTACCTTGTACAATTAACGACTAACAACTATTGATGTCTACCCCTCAAGGTATCGTATTCTACCTTCTGTCACTTTACACCTCCCAATCCCTTCAGTCAACATTCCCGCCATTTCTCATGTCGTATGGTAAATGGCGCGTGAATATCAAGCTAACGATATTTTCTAATTGTACACAGATCTGTCACCAATGGGCGCTCATGCTTGTTATTTGATCACCGTGCTTAAATTGTGATCTCATTGAAAGAATATTTTCAGTCAATAATATTTTATAAACCACTTACGCTTTTCAATCCCTTCTGATTAGTTACATAATAGGGAAAAGAGTTACTGGCCTTTGAGGCTTCTTTATTAAATTTGCTAGCTAGTAAGTAGTTAATGGTTTCTTATAATAGGCCTACGTTGATAAGAATTGGTACTGGTATTTTATTTAGACAAATTCATATCATTTTTTTCCTTTTGGCTCCCAATTTAACGTATATTATTCTGGTGTTAGAACTCTAATCTACTAGTTTGCTGAATCTTGGTCTATCTGAGTCACGTAGAGTTAATGTTGTTTTATTACTACATGATCAAGACTACATAGTTACTATCTTTTATAGCAGATTGGAATACTATTTCAACCTTTTGCAATATCATTGTTTTGGAAGCAATTAATGTTAAACTATCAAGGATCGAGGTACTGCTACCATTTGAACAGTTTCATTTAGTACTTCCGGTATGGATCAAATCAATTACCTAGCCAGAACACGTCACTGCCTTTAAATTCCCTTGACAGGGCCGAGGAAAAATCGAAATGCTTAACCAACTTCAATATTTTTATCAGATTGTGACATGTTAGTTATAAGCGGAATATTCAAGAACTGTTATAGAGCGAGAAATGTCATGGATTTAACGTTAAGGTTATTTCTGATGGGGGGATTAGTGGTCTGAATCCATATTGAATAAAGATCAGTTGTGCCTTAGTGACCACTGAATCTTCATTCGTACGTTGTTCATAATGGTTGACTATACTAAAATTGCTTAAGGGCATGGTAGAGGGTTGTTGTATGATTTAGAAACTGACGAGTGGTGTGAATATTAGCGATTATATTTCTAGTTTATTGTTGTTCTTGACAGGTTGTTTCATGGTTTATATTACTATTTGATACCCATCGTTAGACCTAAAACAGCACATGATTGACAGCCATCTCATATATACATATACACCTTTACACAATATAAATGTTATCTTAAAGGTGTATAGTTCCGATACCCTCGTCGCCAAAGAAAAAAATGGTCAGAATTTTATTATCACGACTTCTATAAACACTAAGGTATCAAAAAAGCATCGTGATTATACAAATCAAAATCGTCGGCCACCTGCATTATTAGCTGGAATTCATTTTTGTCTGCCATTAGCTACCCTTGGAAGGGTTGCGTCGTACTGGGGCTAATGAAATATAAAGTTTGATAATAACCTAAGTAGCTAATAACCGTTCTCGTAGATTACGTTGTTGTGGGCAGGGGGTGGGGGCAATAAAATACCTAGGTTGGCAATTGCATCCATTCGACGATTATAGCCTATAATGCCAGGATCGTCTTTAGTCCAACTGACCCAGTTTCTCCCAACCGATCACAGCACCCAAGGGGATCCCCGTGATAGGGTATCTACTATAGTCTTTTCGAGTAAACCTGCTGTCGTACGAAAGTACATTTTTAAAATAATAAAAAGTAGTCATGTCTGCTTATTTTTATAAAGTATTTCACTAAAACAGACCTTGTCTGTGAATCGGGAACCCGCATAAATGTTTCCAATTAGGCCGCACAGCTCCCAAGATCTGTCCTAGTACCTAGCGTGGTATTGGATCGAGGACGAATATGATAGATAAATATTAAAAGGAGGATGTGTAAATTAAGATGGGTATCTTGTATTATAACACGATAGTACATCTTATAATAGATGTTGACAGTTCTGAAACATAAGAACTCCTTTGGGAATGTATATACAGTTAATAGAAACATCTGGCCTACTTTATTATCCAAGTTTTAGTGAAAACACTCAGAGATATGTTGTCATTTTTATAATTGAAAGGAACGACCGCAACATTTCTACATCAATGTAAATAAATGTATCAACTGAAGAATTATTAAAAACAGCATATTATATGTAATTAAATCATATGTAATATCGGCAATAATTGGAAAAAATACACCGAATAAATAACATCAAATACACCAGCTACACGCATACACAATACGGTTCTTTCACAGTTTGAATTATTTGCGTTATGTCGACTTCAAACAGATAAGGATGCAACTCATTAGGTGATATTTATTAAGATGTGAGAATTCATTAGAAAAAGATCTCTTGAAGTGCATACACTTAACGGCAGTAATCGACAAATGTACTAATTGATAATAGCTTCGTGCTAAGGGTTAAAAATAATGCATTTGCATTTTTTTACTATAATCTTTATGTAACGAATGAATGTTCAGTGTTTCTCTAAGTTAAATAACTACGAATATGAACTACTTAAGATATGAGTTTCAAGTCTTAAATTATTTCAAATACATCCTCTTTTAACACCAATCAGACTTCTCTCGTCCCATCACAGGCAGTATTGGAAGAACACGCGTGTTTCAATACAACAAAATGATGACTACATGAATACGTGTGTAGATCCCTCAAATAGTGGGAAGTGATATTAGATGTTTTGTACAATAAGTGCCATTACTTGGCTGTGGCACGACATCCGTCACTACTTAATAGCTAAATTAGTAAAAAACACTTATGAGTATCAGAACAACATGAGGATACCAAGTTTATTTAAAGAGTCTAACATAACACTCGAGACCACAGTTTACATTTTTCTAACTCCGTGTTATGAAGAGCGGGATTCAAATCTCTTCACACCAGTTTGAATGACAGGTGAGAATGATAATAAAACCTTGAGGAGGTTTCCTCTAAATCACCTTCAATCTACTACATTCAAGTACCCCACAAACAAATTAATCTGCAATAGTTCTCGCGAGAACTTGCTTGTTATCTTATCGCGTGAATTGACGAGAAGTAAACAGTAGACTTTGTTTAAGACCTGTGAATGAATTAAAATGGCGCTGGGTGAAGTTGTACAATAAAAGTATGACACCCGATCTTGTTGTGGTAACAATATTTCACATGGATATTATTCTCGAAATTTGATGTTTGGGTCGTAATTCAAACTCGATATCCTACTTCGCTTGTTAAATATATTTTTATATATAAAACAACACCATGTCCTTTGTTTGAGGAAAGACATTTAACCTATTTAGGATGCCTTATTTTTGATGACTGAAGAAATGTAATAAAATATTGGCATTTTTGCTTTTTTCCGCATTCATATAATTTTTACGGATAAATATATACCACAATATTTTTTTATACATATATGTAGGCCTACTTTTATTTACTTACATTTATTTAACAATAACACGAATTTATTTATTCGTATTAATTTATTTATTTATATCGGACATTAGTATTAAACTTCATTTATCTGTTTATTATAATATTCATATTCACATGTCTGGGCCGACTTTTCTCTGTTTATTATATTATTCACATATATCTGGGCTGATTTGTCTCTGTGTACAGTATTATTCACATATCTGAACCGACTTTTAACATCGTTTTTACTCATTTGCTTGTTTAACTTAATAGCAATAATTTGTACAAAATTGTTCTGTTCGGCAAATATCAATATCAAATGTACTTATTTTAATAACGAAAATAACGACATTGATATAAATATTGCTCTGGGCATTTTATTTTACAAAATTATGCTTTTACATAATAATTTAATACAATTCCTATGTTTTCTCATCCTTAGAAATCAGCTCTCTAAAACAAACAGTAGCAATACTCATCACACCTGAAGCTATAGTTCAGGGTTCTTACTTTATTTTGTGCTTTGAAAATGCGACATGTTTATTTTACTATTTTTTATGCACTTAAATACGAGTTTATTTATTTTCACGAGGCATCCGTCGACTTTGAAAAGCTCGCGTTTCAATATGTAAAATTGCCAGAAATAATTCAAAATCTAAATATTTTCTTCCTGTTTGTGGTTGTCAAAGTTACTAAAATGCAATAAAAAAATCGGTTTTAATTGAGTCCACATGTTGTTAAAATAGTTCTTAGTTTCTCCACTGAAAAGATTTTGAATCAATGGAGTGAATCGTTTGTGTAAATACCTAAACACTCTCCACTCGAGTCTCTCATTCTTTCTAACTTATCAATCGACTAGTTCCTCTCCTCAACGACAAAATAGCCAACTCCTCTTTGTCCCGGAGCTTGTTCTCCTGTCAAAAGGGTAGTCGATATCACCCAGACGTTGAACACTTCTGTGACACCTGCAATGACAACGTAGGGACTATTACAATCTAGTCTAATCGTTTTATTTAGAATGGACAGGTTTGTGTGTAAATTTTGTCACAAGTTGGATAAATGGTGACGGGACTCTTTAAATGGCGGCTATTTAATGAATAAACAACTGCATTGATCAAGGGGGAGAATTCGAAGTAAATACTGGCTGATTCACGCCATACAAAATTTCTTGTGCTTTTTGTTACTTCTTCAAATAGAGCACAAAAGGGTTCCACAATCTATCCTAGCATATCTCCGCCTCCACGATAAAAGATCGATGTTTGCAGCGCCGTCTATTGAATTTGCTCAGAACTATCGTTAAAATTGATGCGTTGTATCAATAGAGGAGCTTTTTACTATAGAAACGTGTAATTGATTTGTATGGATAACCGATATGAAGTGACGAGACGGTGACAGACAGGAACTAGGTCTAAAATATCATCAACAACTTCACTAACACAACAATTAAAACAACAAACTTTCAAAAGATAGATTGATGCAAAATTACAGATGCGGCTATTTATTCAACACCTTAAGCAGATGATGTCCTTATAAATACCATATCTTTATTACATAATGGATCAGTATTTAAAATCGTGCTACCCCATTTTGAGACTAACATATGATACTTGAATGGCTGTGCGTGCTTGTAATGATAACGTTGATTGTGTCTGCGGTGAGGTTGTAGAAGTTTCTACATTATGTCTTGTACATGTAAAGTCCAACGTCGTGGGTTTTCTCCGGGTCTACCGGTTTCTTCCCACTGCTAAAGATCTTTCTCTCTCTCTCTCTCTTTCTCTCTTGTACAGTGCGCATATTTGATATCGTCCCTCGACAATCTCAAATAGACAGTTCGCCCATTCTGACATGTTAAATATTATTATATGTTTCGGAATAAAAGTATTTTGTATGAAAGCACATTAAACTGCAACTTTTAACAGTCTACCGATGATGCATACTAATAGATTCATAATTAAATGAAAGAACACACAGGGGAATATTTATGCTTAGGATTGATTACCTTATAGGCATTCATTAATATCACCATTGCATTCTTCATAATGTATAATGATAATCGATTATGTCCTGGTTCATCAAATGGATTTCTACACGTATTACATATATACATCGCTTTAAAGATACCTTTCCGTGTACAAACTGTGTGATTTGATGATATATTTGAACTAAAAACATATTCAAACTAATTAATATATCAAACATTTGCTTCAAATCCCTCTCAAAACTTGGCATTCGCGAGGAGGTACCCCAAGCTATAAAAAGTCTATTTTTATAAGCTATGTTTGTCACCTAACTTGAATAAGGGAGGGCACATTTTTCAGATGTATTTGTCATTACTTGTGTCCATTTACCATACATATTGAGGCCTAAGTAAATTCTTGAATTATTTTCTGCCAACTAAATTCTTTTTCCACCGTTGAATTGCAGAGTATGTTATACGTTTACATCACCTCAATGTTCCAAAAACCGCCTAACCATTCCATCAAGAAACAACAACCGCGCCCTAAGTCAGTCTAGCAGACAATAAGCCGTCGGGTTGCCAGTTAGTGATACCCTGACATTTTGGCCAGTGCTTGCCCTATTGGTGTTTCTCGGGTAAGATTGAGGGTCTATATACCAAATTTTCAATACTTTTATAGTAAATACTTTCGTGAGAATGTATCTTTAAGATGACTTCTAATTATTCGAGCGAACTGAAGACATCCTAATTTACTAAGAAATTTAACTGTTGTAAGATTGAATTTATCCCTAGTGTAATTTTCACTGAAATGTTCCTGGTAAGTCGGGGGGTTGTGTGATGGAATGTTTAACGCGTGTGCGTTGAATCAGAAGGTCTGTAATTGTACGTGGGTTTTCTCCGGGTCCTCCGATTTCCCCCCACTGCTAAAGACCCCTAAACGCAAGCGAATTATGTTAGTCCCTAAATGACCTAATTTGTGTCGAGTTGTCGTTAAACCCCATTTCTCTCTCTCTTACCTGGTGAGTCCACCACATATTCAATAGATAGTTCCCTGTAGTACATAAAATATGTTTACAGATTACTTTTAACATGTGGCCGTTGCGTGGATTTAGAATCCGGCTTGTGTACGTCCTGACCAACCAACAGTAAACATTTAGTAAACATTTTGCAACCAAATAGGCGATTCGACCGCTTAATGCTTAGTCCATGTCCATTCCATAAAACAAAGCATATAAGGGAATATCAAAATTATGGACTTGGGAGTATGTTGAAATAAATTAGAGGATATTATGAATTTAATGCCATTTGTCCTAGAAAGCGAAATATTGGTCATATTTACATCTATAAAGGTGATTTTTCAGTGTTTGGTTGCAGAAAAATAGGACCTTAATCCCCATTTAATTTCATTTCAATGTTTGGTATCTATATAATATTTAATGATTTCTTCTCGGTTAATTTTATTTCTGGCGATCATAATCTATATAAGGTGATAATTGGAGCTTTATGTATACACCCCATGAAAACCCCACCCCATACTAGCGTGTCATGCAGCTAGCAATTGACATCAGTAAAAATAGGACATAATCTCGTTTAACCTCCGACTACCTGGGTCGCCATCATACTTGACACTAACATGTTTCATATTAATCTGCGCCCCCTCCCAGAGAGGCCGTGAAGTCACATAAATTATACCAAATACCTGATATTCTTGTATTGATAAATTTAATTTGACAGTTATACGTCTATTGTTGGTCCCTGGATCTCTTAATAAAACCTGCAAACAATTCATAAAATCGACATTTTGTTCGAGCTTTTATGGGTTTTATATCTCGATTGTAAATAAACCCAAATATTGTGTTGATTCACACGAGAAGAAATAGCTACATTCTTCCAGTATTAATTGTCTTGTTGCGATATACAAACACATATAGTATAGATCCTACAAACTTTTATGACAATACAGGGATTTGCATTATATTTAATGATGTTGGTACAATATTAATCATACGTATATTTCAGTTGACTGTGTAAAGTTTTTGTTCTTTTCAGTACTATTTATCCTACATTAAAATTTGTCAAGAGAGATAGGCGTATACGAATATAGCATATTTATTTAATTTGGAATTATACATTTTAGTTCGAAAATTGTCAAGTTTTAGATCGAACGAAAAGTGACATTTTAGTTCGAACGAAAATTGTCAACATTTCAATTCGAAAGAAAATTGTCAACATTTTAATTAGAAAATTGTTAATGTTTTTATTCGAAAATTGTTAATATTTTTATTCGAAAATTGCCATTATTTTCCTTCGAAAATTGCCGTTATTTTCATTGCCATTATTTTCATTCGAAAATTGCCATTATTTTCATTCGAAACTAGTCAACATTTTAAAAATCTATTTCAAATTTCCTGCTTTGTAAATGTTTTCGTCGTTTTCGTCGTTTCGAATACATAAGGGGGAACGGTGGCTAAGTGGGCAAGACGCTGTCTCGCTAGCCTGGAGGTCGGGTGTTCGATCCCTGCATTGGCCGAGAAAGTTCATCCAGATTTTCCGGCGTGCTTCCCCCTTCTCAGTGATGTAGGACGGAGGACCTGACAATGAAAGCTGTCTAATCGTTCGGATGGGACAAAAAGCCGAGGTCCCGTGTACACATTGGCGTGCACGTAAAAGATCCCTTGACAGTTGGATTTCGATATAACAGTAGGCCATAGTGCCGCTGTCCGGGAAAAATTTCCCTAATAGCACACTGTATGGCGTATGCCCGTCTTCATTAGCCCAGTTCGGAGCAGAACAGTGGAACGTTAAACTCCATTTCATTTCATTTCATTTCGAATAAATAAATCATCTGATATTAAATATATCGAAAATATTTTCAAGTGAATAAAATGGATATAACCTATCAGGTTTACAGAAAGTTATCATGAAAACAAATACATTGTCAAATTATTTACTGATCAGATAACATTTACTATGCTCCCCAAGGTAAATAATAATCATATTTATTATATTATATAAAATATCAATAATATCAGATAGGACTAAACATGTTCATGGTTAATGAACTGTATAGTCATTATTTTGATTTTCCCACCAATAAGGTCAACGATTGTTCAATCTTAACTGGTTTCTTTTAGATTAACAGCGGGGCACTAGGTAATCCTTATTCAAATATTTTCTCTCATTAGTGCTTTGGTTTTCGGGAGTTACGACTCGAATAATACTGATTAAGTTTCTTTTCTAAATTATCTGAATACAGCGAAGACGAAGAGTTGCATAATTCTTGCTATCCGCGGGACAAATCGCCTTCACCTATCCTAATTAAACTAAATCCATTCAACAACTACTGCTCACTAACTCTTCATTTCACGAAGGACAAAGAGGTCCCGGGGAGCAGTCATTTTAGCTGATTTTAGGTGTCAAGATTTTGGATTTTCCACCGTGGGATTGAGTAAAGCGGTTGGCTGAAGCTTATTGACTAGTTATTGGATTAAGATATTAACTTTCTGACACCTGTTTTGTTTACAAAATTACCCTGATTTTAAATTTAATCACCTCCCATTGATTAACATATCTGTCTCCAAACTTGTGTAATACGTCATAATCTATGGTCTATTAAAGTCAGGCGGATGTCCGGACGTACAATACCACCAAACTCAGATCTCAATTTTGCAAAATCTAGGTTTGTTAGACTATTATGATCGGTAAACAAAAAAACGTTTTCTAAACCCTTCGAACATAATTCTGAAATACGAACTCCCAAGTCCCAATATACACAAATGAAGATTGTATATTTATGCATGGAGTTTTGGTCCGAATGTTATTCAAATTGACCAGTTCTAACTTAACTTATTGTCAAGTTTTTAACAACGGCATCTTTTACATTTGAAATATGCGTAAACGATATGGCTTGTAGTGCCTTTAATCCGCAGACTGGCGTTCAATCTATCTTCATGTCGTTCCGATTTTAATAAACCTCATGATCTTGACAATAAATGGAAAGGTTCCAGCACAAATATGTTGGATATAATAAAGCTACGTACTCCCAGCCTATAAACAGTAGTGGTTGTCGTGCACACAGCAGAGCGGAATAGTTGTGTAACCTATGAGACCGACATCGTCCATTTCGGAATATCGTATAGATGCCCATTTTTTCTTGTATTTTGAGATGCAAATCTATTTGTTGAAGTAACCTCTTACTTATAATACAGCTTTACTATTAGGCCCCGTTAAGTATCCTAAGGCGCGACCAGTCCTAAACCGCTTACGAAGATCGATCACAAACGATTAAGATAAATAATGTTTAGCTTAACGCTGATTTAATCCTGCCTTTATACATTATAACATATATCATTATTCCTCTTATCCTGATCTCCTGCTACTTAAGGTCATTATGTTTAATTGAGTGCTGCTTAGGAAAAAAGTAGATTTAAATACTTGAAACATTCAACGGTATTCATAATAACATAGATCAGAAGATAAAACAAGCCTCTTAAAGATGAATCATAACACGATCTAGTTATCATATATATATATACATACACAATAAACAGTGAGAGTTGAGAATATATGTTATATACATTCAAGAGAAGAAGATGTTAATTTAAGTGGCAGTTACGTGGAGTGTTTTGTGCTATAAGTTTGTTTCACTCTTGTTTTCAATTTATTCTCCATTTGGTAAATCTGGTTCGCCCCAGCCTTGTCTTTTCGAAAAATTTGGGCAACTTTTAATATCTAAACTACTTATCATCTGCTTACTCTTCCAGAATTCAGAATGCCTGATACCAGTATTCAATATCCAATATTGATTTAAATGGGATTCCGTGACAAATACTTGATGTTTCGTCCCCTTTGCTAAAATCATGATAGACCACCAAATGAAACTGTAAAGAGTCGCCCACTATTCTAGATACACGCAGGAACATGGTATCGCTTTTGGTATCTTAAATGACCATAGGATACTTGGGGCTAAATCATCTCAGTTAAATTGGCCAAACCTACAAGAACCTGCAGAATTAACGTTCCCTCAATTACCTAGATATTAGGTCATGTTCGTATTGACAAATCACTACCGAAAATGGGATTATCATCAAAATGTTTTTTCATTTTATAAAAATGCAATTTCTATGTTCAAGCGGTTTATTTGTGACTGTCACTGTTGTCTCCTTAACCCGTTTTATGTGTAATGATGTTTCTCTTAAATTTCACTGTAGTTGCAATTTCGCCAGCTCAAGTGCAACCTATACATGGACACAACTTGTGATATTTTGTTTCAAAATGTCGACGTTACAAGTGGTTTTCTCGTATAGTTCCTTTCTCTAAAAAAAATCATTCAGTTAGAATGAAGTGAATATCTTGCAAGATAATGATTATCTGTATGCTAATCTATGTGCGATTGTTACTTATTACATCATACCGAAGACATGTATGGCCCTCCAAATCATATTTTAATGTGACGCTTCATGGGTTACAACACTTGTAATTAGATCTTCATAGAAATGATACGACTGCTGATTTTAGACATTAAATAAACTAATACAGGATTAAATGAACGGGACAAGAAGAAATTATCTGAACATATTATCGAGCTGATCCTTAGACTACCATCTCTCAAAACCTTTCAATGGTTTCTATGATCCTACTGTCACCAACTTATAAAATCATTACGGAAGGTAATCAAACGTATGTGATACAGTCAGTGAGGCGAGTGGTTTACCTTTAAAGAGATTCCAAGCCCTTTTTATACGGGTAAAAATAGTGGCTTGGTCTCCAGATATGGAATATTCGCGGAAAAACAGTCAATTCTTCCGATGTTAATCAATTCTAAGGAAGTAACAGTGGATCGCGTTTGAATACTAGGTGGTTGGCTACTAGTACATAACTACTGACTATCAATCGAATCTTACTTTAAATTTTTATACCCGTACAAAAATATATTGTGCACGATTTTGTGCATCTAATAAGATGTTGTAATTTTACAATAATCGTATTTCAATATTATAAGTTTCATGAAGCATGCAAGCTTCCCTGAAAATAACAGTATACTTCTCTGTCCATGGCTCGTCACAACTCATGTCTGCCACATCCAATTTTGCAACGCTTCATAACTTACGTCACTCAGGTAGAAAATCCCCCAAATTTTTAATTGGATTTTGAATAAAATGACTTACAAGATGATTGAATTTATGATGGTAGCAATAATTTGCGATCTGTGTGGCCAAGTAAACAGAGTAGATTAATAGCTTAAAGTTTTGGCAACAAGTTTGTGCAAAACATAAAGAAAATAGGTTTTTCCTTTGTGTTACAGTAGCATTCATTCTCGATACTTTACATAATAATGATGGAGCCGGATTTGTTGGTGAAGTATCATATATTTAGTGTTAAAACGTTCCCCGTTTTAATGGAAGGGAATGTGACGCAGTTTTCTCTATCCTAGTTTTTACGAGATTTTAGATTGTTGTGGGAAACTTATGCTCAGTTTTCCACATTAGTATAAGGCTGTAACACAAAGGTTAGGTAAATGAAATAAGCCCCCCCCCCCTCATATTTGGGGCGCGGGTTGACAATATAAAGGCTTCTGATTGTGGGTGCTCAAATATTATTGATCATGGTTTCGGATTGCGGTCCCAGTATTGCAATACTTTTAATATTTAGGATGAAAATACTCAGATTTTGTACTAACACGCAATAAAAACGCACCACTAATTGACTGGAAGTGCTGACGAGGCTGATGCAGTTAAGACGTAATTATTGGCATGATTGTAGACAGTTAGCGACATAGGGCAACAACAACAACCCATGGCGGCCACAACATCTTTACTTCACATTAGGTAAATATGGAAAATCAGTAACGTGTGTATCCATTCCTGGTAGTCACCCACACACGTCATGCAACGTCGCCTCACGGTGGATATAGCCCTTTGAATTGATGTTTGTTGAATCCCATCTGCTTCTAGTGTAGTTGATGGATATTTTGCAGTTCAACCGATGCTCGATATATGGGAGATCAGGGAGAGGGCTGGCCAGTCGAACACTACCGCGTTGTTTTGGTTCAAGAAATCCATAAAAAAATGTATGTACTTGAGCATTATCACGCCGACACGTGTGCAGATCTGAATGACGCTGAGTCAGAATTGGTCCAATGTAAAGGGAACTGGTCATTTGGCCACTGTCACGTTGTTTTAGTTCAACAAGTCTACGATCACTTGCGATGTATTGGCTGGGGAAATATAATGCTGAAACGTTGATGAACCGATGAGGATCCTTCACAGTAGCAGCAGTGGGGAAACTGGCAGCGTGCGATGATGCAGATGTTCTCGGAGTATGTGCTGGTCTTGTTAAGGCCTTGGGATGTGTTTAGTTGGCCCTCTCTCTCTGTTGGAAACGATCGACCAATCTGTGGATGGTAATGTGATGGCATCCAATACAAATATAGATAACGGATTAAGTACTCATGTCCTCTTGAATTAATGCAATGACACGTTCTAGGTGTTCATGGGTCTTTTAAAAACCACATTGTATATTGTCATGAATTTGGTGATCTATAATCCATTTATAAATTGATGTGTTTTTACTGGATTCCAGTGTACATGTATATACAAGATGCAAAGGAAATGGAAACCGCTAATTTGTAAACTTACTTGTTTACAATATTTTGGTGGTGAGCTGTTAATCCCTTACTCCACCCAGTATATAGTAACATAGATAAAACTACATGTATGTAAAATAAGTAAAGAAATAGTAAGCTGTAATAAATTGGGTCACCAGTTACCATTGTACTCCACCTTATCTTTTCAGCCATTCTTAAAAACTGTGAATAGTTGTGTATCCGAGCGTAACCTTGTTATAGACAATAATAGACATTTTTTACTACAAAATGTATAGTATTATATATACCTTAGCTAACCCCCTATACCTTCATGAAAGTGCACATTACCTGTGTCAATTATTCATAACAAAGACTCCGTTTGGTTTCATAGATGTTTCGGCAGCATAAGTCCGAGTAATAAGGTATAGGGGGTGATTTACAAACATCGATATTGGTCGATGACTTTGATTTGAACTGAACATAAGAAGATGTCTGATATCTTTCAGGTAGAAAGGGACAATTATAGAATAGCTAGCACACCCGGGTACTATTAAACTAATGTGTCTTTTTGTATTTATAGACCTTGAATCTGAGTTTACTTTACGGTTGATAGTCCTATATGTTATCCTAAAAGGTCTTCTAAATATTTTCCCACAACGGTCACCCCAGTGCCCATAAAATGGACATTAAGTGACTTTCTGAATTCATAGTTTTCCTTCACAGAGAATGTGTGTTATTAAATGGGAAACGGTTTCGAAAGCTGTAACAGTCTCCCACGCAATCAATCATTATCAATCAATATTTCAAAATCATTATCGTTGCATAATTCATAAAATGGAATACCCAAAACGAATCGCTTGCCTAAATATTATGAATGTCAGCGAATGTCATCAGAACATTGTCACATCAAACTATTGCAAGCCGACTTTGAAAAGTAAACTTAATTACATTTCAGTAGTATTTTAGTCTCTGATCTCTTTGTTGTTCTCGTATAAATAACTCTTATGCCCTAATAATACCAACCCATTGCCCACAGGATGTATAACCAATCGAATAAAACCCTATATCCTTTATAAGATATATTGAGACAAATACGGCGACCATTTTACATAATTGATTAGTTAACTTGTAGTTTCAGATTTATGTATAATCATGGGGTATATAAATATCAAATTTTATTTGTAGATCATATGAATTTTCGAGAGACTAACAAATACCACAGTTAAACAAAGTCATCTCAGATAGCTCAGGATTTTTGTTCTGTTCTTTCATTGAAAATAACATATACAAATGTATTTAAATTGAACACACTAAGGGTGTTAATCAATAATTTAAAAATGGCACATATGGACAAACGAAGATAAGACACAGTAGGATTTGTAATGCATTTTAATATATTTACAAACTCTGGTTATTATATACAAAATGAAATGATATATATAATAATGATAACACCAAATGTCAATGAATAAAACAACACATTTTGGATTGTATTCTTGGATGTATTCTTTAGTGGAAAATCGAATAATAAAATTTACCAATTAAAAATAAGGTTTTAAATTCTAGAGTAACATTGAATACGATATCTGAAAAAATATCAGTTTAATTTCTTTTATGTATATATAATTTTATATCCCACAGTGTGTCTACATCAAACATTATAATTAATCTCGTTATGGTAAATATTCAGTAATTGGTGAACAAATAAAATAAACATTCTCTTTAAAAAAAATATTCAAAAAAATTATAAATTAATGAATTTTGCTAATTTTTATCAACAAAATAAATTTACAAAATATTTAACAAATAAATAACCGATAAAGTATTAGCAAAACTCACGTCTAGTTTTTTGCTTATAGTTTGTCATGACTCGCTCTGTCTTTGAAATTTAATTCAAAGTAAACGAAAATTAGATATAAGTGTTATATAATTAAAACGTTTGAAATGGTTGAGTACCCAATTGATTCTTTTTCACAAAAATTATAAAACATTTGATAAACAATAACATTAACAAAACAGTATTTTTCAAAAAGAAAGGGACTTTAATTATGGACGATTTGACAAATAATTAATTTAAAATTTCTTCTTAATCATAATGCTGTAATAATAACAGAAAATAATATAATATTTGGTTTTTTGTTGTATTGCTTAGAAAACATCCCAGTAAACCGTCTAAAATTAATGCTGATGAAACAAAATAATAGAACATTATATTTTGATTGTATGTGACTCTCTCTATGTTGTTAAAAGATTATGCTATATATTTTATCTACTTTAAATAATAAACAATTATATCTCTGTTTTCATTTTGATTAAGACTGTCAATACTTTCACGAAAAACGTCTCTACTATAAAAACATCACAATGGAAAATGATAAACAGTCAATGAATTTTAGGCTTCAGTTTTATGATTGCACCAAAATAACAATGAATGTAGAAATTAAAACCAAAATCCACGTATGATCATTTGTTGATTTATCTAAGGAGCACTGTTTTACATACAGTGCGACACAAAAATTGTTCACGAACACTTCAATCCAATGTCATTATTATTCACAACACTCTTTTCTGATTCACAAATGCTGTCTTTCAGATGTATTTGGTTTATTGTTTCTCGATAGAATCTTTAGTATGAATTATTTGGTTAAATTAAGATATTTGGTATGAGTTTTTTTTTTCAGGCTATGTGTACTGTAACAAAGCTGGAGGATGGAGGGAAGCGATATGACTGAAGGCGTTAACCGAGGAATGGTCAAATGAAGGTGCTGTTGGCATTCCCCCTCCTGAACTTTGACACACATACCATTCACTTAAGTTCGTTGGGTGATGGGAAAGGGGATTTGGCACCAGAGGTAACGTGGGACTATTTTGTGTTGAAAGTGGATTATGATGTAAAGATGAGTGAGTAGACGTAGTTGAGGCACTAGATGTTGTTGTGGGGCTGGTTGCTGGAGACTCCGTGTCGGGACTACAGTTATTGTCATCTTCATCTGTATGAATCGGAGAAGTCTTGCCATGAACTTTCATGTGTTTCCGTAACGAGCTCGGGTGTGTGTAACTTTTATCACATCCTTTGACTTTACAATTATAGGGCTTATCACTCGTATGAACATGTGAATGTTTCTTTCTGTCTGAACTGTTGGCAAACCTTCTATCACATCCTTCAAATTCGCATTTAAATGGCTTTTCTCCTGAAAAGATAAAAAGAAGAGGCAAATAAATATAAATGCTGAAAATATTATCAAATCCAATTTTCAATACACTATTCAATAAATGTATTTGCTCGATTCTATCAATTAAATCGATTCATGTGTCTTAGTAAAATAAAAACAGGTAAGACTTGGATATCTGCTTTGAAAAATTAGAAATAATAAAAATGGTTAGAAATGATAACCGTGTGTGCAGGTAGAAATTATTTTTTTTCTAAAATGAATATATGTGAAAATGTCAACTAATCAGGATAGTTATTGTTAAAAAATGGATTTTTGGAATGTTTATATAGTTCTTATATTATCTACGTACGTCTTAGAATTAATATTCAATACATGTATAACATTTGAATTATTCTTAGAATTATAAACTTGAAAATGGCATCGATGCAGTCCAATTTTAACAAACTGTATTGTCATTATTATTAACAGTTCAAATTATTATTAAGCGCTTTTCGAATTAAAAATATAATGATGATGATAATATCCTAATTCAGTTATTATAAGCACGAGCCATCTAAGTGGCCTTTTTAATATATTAATATAGGCCAATTTATCACAGAAATTAAGATAACTTCACAGTCGTGTATAGGCAAATATTTTCTATTATTATCGCGGTAATTTAACCCTAAAAACTGGAATTGTAATGGACCCTTAAACAGGCTACATGTAAATTCAACGGTAGGCAACATCTAAATGTTATTACAATTCCCCAAAACAGGAAATGATTCACAATCATTCACGATCATACACAGAACATGCAATTACTGTGCTTTTTCGTTGTTTGTTTGTTCAAATTACTATTTAATATTTACTTAATTTGATATTCATCAATGTTTGAAAGCATCAGTGGATACAATAATTGGTTCCATGTTTATAATGGAAATATTAGATGCTTGTATTAATAATGAAATAGAAAATCATTCATTTTTCTCACTTATCAGAAACATTTCATAATTTGTTTATTTTAGCCAATCGGGTTGATCTAACGGATTATCTGCTACTAATACGATTGTTAGTCTTTCCGCTCCTTTTGCCAACAATGGCTAGTAATCGTTTGGCTAGCGGCCATCACAAGATCATATTATCTAAATTGGCAGACGGATATTTGATGCGCGGGAAAACGATCGGTTGAAGCAGGCGACTTGATTTAGCGCGCGTATATTGGAAGACTGGCAGCAGACGACAAATGCGGCAGAAGGCATTAAGTCTTGGTTGTCAGGTTTCATTGATCCGTTATAATTTATAGTTTTAGGGTCTAATATGTGAAGTGGGATAATCGTGACTATGATGATATGATTTAGATTATTGGTTTGTTAACTAAATGATAATATTTATCCTTTCACGTCAGATAATGATAAAACACGAGACCAACACCATCAACTAATGAACGGGGGAGATGACGGGAAGAAGTTTACGTTAATTTCAGCGATCGCCATTTTACTTCATCTAATCAACGGAAACCTTTTAATTTGATGGTCCATTTCTCGCCATTTGTAATAATAGTGTTTAGCTTATCATTTATATATTCTAGGACCACATATTATAGTCAACACAATGGGAACTAAGCCGTTGATTTTACGGTAATCATCAGTATTATTGGCGTCACCAGTTGAAATAAAATGGCTGCTAAATAACTTAGTGTATTTAATAGTTTAGATTATTCGCTACAAAATTTTTACAGACTCCACCACATACATTGTGGGATTCAGATTGACCAAGTCACGTGACAATCTGACACGATCCTTTCTTGTAAAAAAAACGTATCAGATTTCAACCTGGTTTTAGCTCTGAAACGAATATCATGTTGTACATGACACTTGGGTTGAACACCTTGTTTGAAACCGTGTTAAATACATTTGTCTTTCTTTTATGTAGTTTGTAACAGATTTTCTTTAAAATAAATGAACACAGGAGACCATGTTTTGTTGTATGTATTCTCTAGGCGTTTAATAAAAAGGTTTTAATTTTAGCCGCACTGTGTCAGTGATAGTTGAAGAGGTGAAAACTAACTTTAACACTAACGAGTTACACAGACCATTATATTCGAGAGTTTTAGAATATTATTTAATGAGCGATTAGAATGTAGACACCAAACTGGGTATTTCTTTAAAACACCACGCTCTATATCTTTGAGTTGTTAAATTAAACCAATAGCGAAAAAAAATCACCATGTTAAAAAAACTCGGGGAATATAGATTATCAAATTTCAATAAAAACCGAAGTGTTAACATTGACAAGATTATTCTAATGCGATCGTTTCGTTAATTCGCCTGTGCAATTTTTATCAATAACCTCTTTATACAATTTTCGTGTTTCGTTTGTTTGCCGTTCAATCTTTGCACAATACAAACTACTCATGCGTGAAGGCAAATTTCGTTTCAATAAAAACTCACTTTGAATTATTGATAAAGATGGATTATAGTGAAATTTAACACCCTTTTTGTAAAATAGTAAGCACGTCAATTTCAATATAAATACACATTTCCCTTGAAATTGTGTCGAGTTAATGAAAATTATATTAATTACTTTACGTTGGTCAAAAAGAGGTCGGGTAATGATTGCACATGCGTTATTTATTACAGTCGTCTATAAAATTGTGTTCAAATGACTTTAAAAATTTAAAGAAACGAAACATATTTTTATCTCAGAAGTGAATAAAATTATAATAGGTATCATAATATCTAATGCATATTTATCGTGAAGGGTAATTTACATTATAAATGGAGCTTTATCTTTGCGTTCCGCTTCTTTACGCGATTACCTATTCGTAATGATGTGGAGCAATTTGTGACACTCGGATGGTAATGTGTAGTCATTATCAACACTTTATTCACCGGGTTATCGGCAACTATTCACTTTATATCTTTACTAAGTCTTACCTTATCGTGCCTAATTCTTGCCTTATCTTTCCATCTTATCATGTATGTAAGTTTTAATTAAGCCAAATAGTGAGTAATTGAGGGAGCTGGGAAGTAGTAGCTGTTTCTAATTTATCCTATCATTGAGTTTCACTTGTAGCCTAATTTACAACATGTTTCAGATGCAAGATAACTTAATTATCTGAAACTTTACTTAAACAGTTATCTTAACAAATTTCACATACTAATCACAAATGCAGAAGTTTTCCCACACTCCACAAAAGCTTCAAATCCGCCATAAACTTCAAGAAATGATGATATTATTATTAGAGAAGTTGGTAATACATTAAGAATGTCGCGACATGTACTGCTTCAGAGAATTACATTAAAAGAGTCATGTTAGTTTTGAGATAATATTATTTCTCTCCAATTATAAGGAACTATTACATTTCCACAAAATATACACTAGTGTTATTGTTATGAATTTATATTATGAATATTGAAATTGTAATACACGTATTTATTATACAAAATATATGCATATAGTTGCAGCAAACGATGCATTTAATACTAATTTCTATAGAAATTGACTGAGATGCAAATGATACCGTGAGTCAGATTATTTATATTTTCTAAATACTTTTTTTTCTTATTTTAAATAATAAATGCGACTACATGTTCTGATAGTATTATTTCATTGCGTGTTCATTGGGGTTTTTCAAGAAATAAATTAAGCGTGAATTCAAGACTGTGTTGTGTTTTCAGAAGATTACACGTGGTATCAAATATCAGGAATAGAGAGCCCAAGATTGACATAAAATTATAACCTAAAACATGTCAGTGTAAAACAGTACAAGTTTGGTTTGTTATTTTCTCTCCCGTTGAAATCGGGTAATCTAATAAGGGGTTTAATACTTAAAAATATGGGATTTAAATACTTAGAAACCCCAAAAATAAATATCTAATTTTAATTAGGTTAAAAATACTTCAAAACAAAACAAAGCATCAATAAGTAAATTGTAAGGCACATATAAATAACAAAGAAAGCATTATATATGTATGTCGTTATTAAAGATTTCAAAATTCTAATAACGACCAATTTCCTTATTAGTTTTCTCAATATGTCACAGGGATATAATGCTCACAGCTGTCTTCTACATCAACTCCTTAAACACTGTCTGTTTAATTCATCTAGCTACTTTCCCGAAACTCACAAAAACACTTAGAAAAAGATTTGTACGGAATTCTCATTCTGTTATTTCTTGATTCGAAAAGAAATAGTGTGAGGTCCATCACCCCCTCACCCCTCAGTAGGTACAACAATCATTATCCTCACCCCCTGGGGAGACATAACGAGGGGGGATCATGCAAGGTTCCGCCCCATCGCGCCTCGTATCTGTCAAGTCAATACACGTAATCAGTGAGCTTTTTATTCCCTAACTGAATGTCGTTACTCCTAACAAAAAATATCCGTTCTTAAGGCGGAAACTTCTCAAGAATGTAAATAAACAAATACAGGACTAAGTCGTAAACAAAATTATCAGAAATTCTATAACTGTTTTAAGTGTTACCATGGTAAATATCCAAGCAACAACTTCAAAAATTTAATATAAACAAACAATAGTATTCATTTAGTACAAATTCGCTTCGTATTTATAAATCAATATTTGTTTTATATTTCTATTATTAGTAGTAGCTAGATATATTATGTATACAGACATGTATTAATCTATTGTATATCATATTATCATGATAGGATAGTATGTTATATGCATATTAAATACAGTAAATTAATAGATTATTGATCAGGCTGTATTTATGGTTATTTTGGATTTATGGACTGGAAATTAACATTTTAATTCCAATTTTATTTTAATTAGTTAATACTTCATATGCATGTTGAAGTCTATTAAAATTGTGTTACTCTGACCCTGTTAGATAAATTCTTAAGGTAATCGTCGGCTTTACGTCATTTTGTGAATGGACAACTTGAGAAAAGTAAACATCTTTTCAATCTTTTCAATGAGTTAACCACTGAATACACCCTCGTCGATCAAAGAAAGTATTTTTAGTTATAATATTTAACCAATGTGGATATGTAAGTATATCGGAATTATATAA